ATCCTCTAGAAGAGTGAAATATTGTCTCTTAGTCCTGACTTAGAATATTTCAGTACAATAACAAGTTAGTCATTATATAAAAAATTTTGTAATATTATAGATAGTTATATAACTTCTCAATAAAAATCAAGCCATGTAATATGATTATGGATTATAAAAAAAAAAAAATTATTTTATGTTAATAACATAATTACTTTTGAGCCTATTTAAAAATAAAAATAATAATATAATTACTTCTTAACAGATTCTAGTAGTAAAATAAAATCAGTTTAAATATATTGAGTTTATTAAACTTTAATACTTTTTTTTTTTTTTAATCCGCAGTCAGGTCAACATGGCTTGTCTTTATTGTATATATATCAGATATTTACAAATTATTTTGACTTTCACATACTAACTCACCTGTCATTGAAAAACTATTTCTCTAGATGCAACTTAGGAAATGATATTTCGCTCCTTTACTGACTTGGATAAATCCTCTAATCAATGAAATCATTACCTACAGGTCATTACTGTAGATTATTCTAAATTCCAACTGCAGTTAAAAATCAAAGCATTTCCTTCCATAACAAATCCAATCCTTGATGATTTCTTAAACTTTAATACTATAATATATTTATTGATTAAAAGTTATAGTAAGTTTGCCAAACCTTTTGAAGTTGTAATTCTAACTAATTTAAATCTGTAATTCTGGCCAACATTTAATTTATAATTCTGGCTACATTAGATTTGTAATTTCGATAAAATTAAAATTTGTGATTCTGACTAACATTTAATTTGTAATTCCGGCTAACACTAAAATTGTAACTCCGGCTAGCATTAATTATAATTTCGGTAGAATTAAAATTTATAATTCTGGTAGAATAAAGATTTATAATTTCAGCAGGTATTAAAATTTTCGCCATTGATAGAAAAGGAGTTTTTTGATTTTAATTGCCAAAAGTCAAAGTTTTTATTTAGTAAAGAATTCATTAAACTTTTTGTAAGTATCTTTTTTATATACGATTGCTTTCAAAAGTTTGAGTGAGTCCACTTACTATATTTTTATTATAAATTCAACTTTAAAAATTTTTAAATCTTTAATTATACAATCAAAAATTATAAAATTTATATATATTATATAGCAGCAGGAAGCGCGAGCAGACTTTTTTTTGGTGGGGTGTTTTTATACACCTTTAGTCTGCGGATTTTTAGCTCTAAAAACTTTAAATTCGATAGCAAAAATCGGGTGTAAAAATGGTGTAAAAATGGAACTATGAAGAGCATTTTGCTTTTTACGACAAATAGGTAATGACCCTAAATATAGGGATTTTAAAGTTCAACTGGCATTATATTAAAAAATCGTGCGTCATTAATTATCCAGAAGACATATCGTTTATGGAAAAAACAAATCAATTCAGCTAAAATAATCCAACATGCAGTAATTAAATGACTTTATAGACCTGGTGGATCATTTATGAAGCAAGCCAAAGATCGATACCATCAACGGGCAAAGGTACTTTTAAAATCTTCTATATTTAATCAACTATAACAACTGGTGCGAGTGGAAGGTCTTTGAATCTTTTTCCGATGAGCTAAAATCTTTCCAGATAATATTTTTGATGGAGGTACCTCTATCAATACTTTCTCAGCACTTTTTTCAGTACATATACTGTATATACCCACATTAATGTATTAATTTCCCGCCCTTGTAGTCATGTCCGTGATTAAGTAAAAATCGATACTCATCCATTACAATATCAATCATCCTGCTATTAATTCCTGAAAAAGCTGTTTATCTTCATCCGTAATTGGGAGGCGGATCTCTTCAGGGCTGAATCCTATGCTTGGAAATCTGATCGCGTAATTCATAAGACATTTTTTGTTACTATGACACGTCATAAAAATATATTTAATTTATTTCGCTATATCACGTTACAATGAGCATCAAGGGAGCGATGTCATGTGCAATCATATACCACCGATCTCCCATTATTCGTCCATCCAATCAGAATAATTAAAAAACCGGAAATTATTGACCAACCGGAATTGGAATAGAAGTATTTCGGAGAAATGACAGTCTCGTGGAACATGCGCAACTGTCCTACATAGATAATCGTTGATATACTGTATTTATTGCTATATGATTGGAAGAGGATCCTCGGCCTTTAAACCCAGTCGTGTTCGTCTCAATTCTAAAGAAAAAATAATCGATTATATCGGATAATCCGTGTATACTGCATTAAAATCGTTTTTTACCTCAGGTATATGTCAACACGTAGTAAAATTACTTACCTATACGTCCTCTCCTACAATCAGTGGATGACGGCGGAACTCGAACCCGATTGGCTTTCGACTTGTCGAGTTTGATTATGCGGTTTAATCCTTTTGCATTGTTCAAGTCTTGTCGAGGAATTGTAGGAACAATTGATCCATTAACGTCCCGCTCAATTCCATTCTCAAGATCACTATAGACCGAAGAAAAATCATGTAGATTATGGAAGAAGGTACTGTGGACGAAATATACGACGCTGTGTCGAATACCACTTGTGATTGGAAGATTACCATGTAACAAGAAACGCGACAAGAATGCCACAAGCTGTCCCGGCCTTAGCGGAGTTACGATCTGAAGCTGTGGAAAACAAAGTTCACCTCCCTCGAAATCACCCAACGCGACCAAGCAACATAAGGAATTTGGATCATCCCAGTGAAAATCACTTCTTGTGTTGAAATTGATCGCGATCATCGGAAATATACCAAAAGGTCTCGGAGAAAATACCCCCATTTCAATTCAGATAGCTTCTCGTATAAACTCCTATAGTACTTCTCAATAAAGCGATTGATGGAATCCGATAGTGGCACTAGGGGAAGAAATTGTATAGAGTACATGCGCCGAAGTGCTCGATAAAATTTGACCAGAACTCGTCGCTTCGATGGGATCGATTATTCAACGTATGGAAATAGTAATGATTAACGGCATTTGTAGCTTTTTCAATCGCATTTGGGTCATTAAGGATTTCGAGATGTATTAAAGTTCGTCCATTTATATCAGTAACACATTCTGACTTTACAATATATCGAAACTAGACTAACCTTTTTAGAGAATATAGATTATCACGTGCAGAAATTATCAGTTCTTTCGAGAGATACTGTACTTCAGTTATTACATTTGAAGAGCCTTGCGAATCAATATCATTTCGGAGATTCATAGCATGTCTGATCTTTTTCCATTTATGTCGGAGATGCCGACGTACGTCTCTTCTAGTGAGCGGTTCTTCCATCCCAAGCCATTGACCAAGAGAAATCCATAAATGTTCATCTAGATTATCAGTTCGGAGCTTTCCTTTGTTAGCATATTTAGCCTTGATTATTTCATTATCGACAAGCGTTAAAAAATCGGACGGGATCTCAGGTAGCTTGATTCTTTTCACTATAGCTTCTCGAATTAACGTAATTCATCTACCGAAGTGTTTTCTTGACTTTTATCTCCTTTCGATGCTATGCAATCCGATAGACTAAGGGCGACGCTCTTCCATTCTTTTCGATATAAAGTATTTTGTCTTGAATACATAAACCACGAGTCGCATATTGGGTTCGGTGCTATTGATAAATATAGTATATCGATAACGTTCTATAGGATTAGCATCAAAGTTATCATCGAAATCGGTAAAAAGATTTATAGTTTGAACCAGTCTTGGAGACGAAAGCCATTGCTCAACAATAAAGGATTTGTCCCTTCAGCTGAACCTCCCAGAACAAATTATTGCGGAATAACATCAATGCGTCTGTTGCACCACATGTTTCCAATGTCTAGGAAGCTTGATCTGTCAACACAAAAATTATCATAGCTATGAAACGAAATCCCGAAATATTTGGTCAATAATATATGCCCTGTTTGGATCGAAAATAATATCGTCTGTTATTGAGACTATAGTCGGCTCAATCGGCACAATCGATGCAACTATATTAGGGTCTAATATGGTCGATTTTTGCTCCTTTTCAAGTCTACGTTTTTTATTATAACGATTGTGGCGTGAAGACATACTGGAAAGGTCCACAGTGTATTAATAATAAAAAGACAAAAGCAATACTACTCGACGAGCCGTTAGGGTTTTATTCCTAGAGCCGATGTCCTACTCAAGACGAATAGTGTATACTTTCGCGAAAAAACGTGGGAATCGGTAGGTTGCATATTACAACAATCAACCAATCAAGATTGATAATGCGCTGTTCGAATCTCTACCCAAATAGTATCGTACAACCTCGGTAGTCACATGCATTCCTTTCGCGATAGTCTACACGAATTCCTTCTACGCGAATTGTTCTTTTTCTACTTGCATCGATAAAAAAAGTATGTAGGACAAGTCTTTCGTCTGATCCATCGCAACTTTACTAATTCTTCGTTTTCAGTGAAACATTTCTCCAGAAGACCACTTTTCCGATTCCTCACTCAGCCCGATGTCATATCTGCGATTAATTCTATAACTGCTGATAATATATTCGACTACTATCAGCAGGAAATGTCAAATAGCAAACTTTCGCAAGTATATCAAGTGATAATCCAAGATTTGGAGGAAGTACTCGAATCAAATTTCTTTAAAGAAGATACGACGCGTGTTCTGAAGAACATTAGAGACACTTGGGTTGTAAGTAAACTATTTTATATATTATGAATTGGAGGATAGAGCCTCTCGTTTAGGAGAGGGCTTAAGTATCTGAAAGGAAGTGGGGACTGCGTGTCGCTTACTTCTGGCGTATGAGGACTGCGGTCGCTCATATGACCCTGATCGGTGGCAAACTTGGGGACTGCGGTTGCTTGGACCTAAACCACTCCTCCCCAATCATTTCGAGCTAATTCGTGTGAGTCTTATAACTAATGTTATCTTTTCATTTTGAGACGTGGAAAAAACAACGCATTCGATTTTATAAAAATGAAGAAGCGATCAACAAACAAAAGACCGTTCGCGAAGTTCAGTTTGTGAGTGCATATTTGTTGGATTCTTATTCTTTTACTATAGAAAATGAGCTCATTACAATCACTGTTTTCTCTTTATAAGCAAACGTGCGTCTCGAAATATCAAGGAGGTATCGCTAAAGTTACCAACAAAGAAGTTGATAAGTGGGCTGAAGAACTGGTAAACGTTTGTAAAGAAAGGATAGGTCTTAATCACGATCAGTTATAAGCTATAAAAAATTTTTTAATTGCGAATATGTTGCAGGGAGAACCTTCAGTCCGCAGATCACCTCGACCAATGAAACGCGTTAACTACGCTGAAGATAATTCAGATGAAGAGAGGGAGATGAGGAGAGTAAATAGTACTGCTCATTCGCAATCGACGGAATCTCCACAACCTAGAACCCCACCGCAAGCTCCTCGGAATTTAACTTCATTGAAAACATCTCCGAATAAGCGACCGCGGAATAAAGAGGAAATTCAGCGGTAAATTTCCCATTTCCTATTTGTTGTGTATCACTTAACAAATGGAGAAATTCTAATGGTCTCTTAACTCGCAAATTCCTCCAGATATTCCGAAGATATCTCTGTTATATGTGCTTTTGATAAATCTGTTTCGGAGTTGATCTTAGAAATCGGCGAGGAGCTTGCCATTGAGCTATCCTCTATTCGTGACATCAATCCTGCTGTGTGGTCGCATGCTCTGGAAAAATACGTTGATACTTCTCTTAAAGAAACTGGAAAAAAAATTCAAAACTGCAATTCAGGTTGAAGTTCCTAATGAACCATTTCGGTTGTATTGTGAAAAAGTTCTTCTTGATTTGTAGGTAGATGTTAGTATCTGATGTTGTTAATCAAAATAATTATAGACCATTGATTCTTTTTTAGTTATAATCTTGTGGATGTAAACTCTACAATGGACCGAAATATAGGCGAACGGAAATTTATTACATATCAAATCTCATCGATTTTAAAATTTTATGAGAGGACGTTTTTGAATCTTAACTTCGATTGGATTGAAAGCCATGCATCTTCGGCAAAAATAACAAAATCTACAACAAATTCAGGCATAGTTAAAGTAGATTCCAAGGCAACTCGGTATTCAGATGGACAAGAAGTTTGGCATATGGAAGTGGCCGGTGGACCGTGCAAAACAACAGACGTACATACCCTTGGTGATACGAAAAAAACTATGCGAATGGATGTTTTGAATTTAATTGGAATTTTACGAAATCACTTTGATTGTGACATAAAACTCGCCACTAAAATCAAAGTGTTCTGTACTCAGGTGATTGGTAAGTAATAGTATAATTGTTTTTTTTTTTTTTTTTGATATTCATGTTTCCTGTTTCTTCAGGTACACGAATGACTCTCTATGCATTGAATATGCTCCCGGATGGAAGATTTCTTTCTTCAGAACTTGCTACAGCTTTAATCCCTTTCAGCTTTCATGGTCGAAATCAATGTAAAGCTCTTCTCAGAATGATGGCTATCTTTCATGTATGTATCTGATGATTTATGTTCATATATTTTATTTTTCAAAAAAAATACTCATTTGATAGTGGTACCTTTTCCTTAGGATGAGATAACAAAATAAGAAGAACTAATGGGCGAGATTGAACGATCTGTACTTCGATCTAAGGGAAAAACGGTTCGTCATGTATTAAAGATTCCTGATGAATTGTTTGAGTGAGTCTGTATATTTAAGTTAGCTGATGATAGAATAGATTTTCTGTAGACACTAGCTGATTTAATATTCACACTAACATTAACTAATTATCATCAAGTATACTTAGTATTAATGCAGATTAACAAATAAAAGCTGTTTATCCGAAAAAATATTGCAATACAATTCATAAGAATTGACAATCAAACGTGATATACATTGTTTTATGTGTTTGGACTTTGATATACAGTAGATTATGTTTTAGTCAAACTTTCACTTTCGTAATATTCAGCTTATTAGTGGTCGCGTGACGTTGTGATATAATATCACGATCTATGCATAATGATATCAATATCAAATAAAGTTCGCCCGATTCTGGGTTATATTTTTTGTTATTTTATACCTTTTTTCTATGTATCAGCTGATTCGCTTTTTATTTTTTCTTTTGACGCAATTCTATTTCCTTCTGCAAATCTAATGGAGTATCAAACCTTAACCGAATTGCTAGAGGATCATCCTCTGACCTAGTAAGATCAAATATAATAAATTCATTTTTTCGAAGGTAACTATTAATAACCATTGATGCATTTTTTACATCATCAGTATAGCGCCTAATAATTTTGGAGACGTCTTCATATGAGCTACCGGAGTTAAAAATCCCCAAATGTGAGGCATTTTCACGCATAAATGTATTGATTTTATGATATTTCTGCGCTACATATACGCATGAAATATTCCTATGTCGTCCATTCCCAAAAAATTGGCCGATTTTGATTTTGTATATATTCTGGGGCTAGACATACATCCTCAAAAACAATCGCTGTGCTTCGTTCTGGTGAAAATGCTCTAACACTAGGGATTTTTTCTGGTGATATATATCTAAATCGTATATTCTCATAGTAAGGCGCTTTTGGATCTTTTGAAATTATACCATACATTTTTCTTACAAATGCCCACTTAGGCTCGTCGGGATGGTAACCACATACTATCAAATCATCGCATGCAATATATCTAGACCCGCCTTTAAATCATCACATGCAATATATCTAGACCCGCCTTTAAATCATCACATGCAATATATCTAGACCCGCCTTTAAATCATCACATGCAA